GATTATTACGTCAATGATACCACGAAGAAAATCAAGCGAGGAAATCACAAAATAAATTCTGTAGGGGGGATATAGAATTTATTTTGTGATTTTCTCGCTTGATTTTCTGTTTTGATGCATTTTCAATTTTCGTAGTTTCATTTAAGCACAGTAATAGGTATTTTACGTTTTTCAGAGGCGGTCATGAACGCCTCTCAAGTTGAACTGACGCCTCTCGAGTTGAATGGAAGGAGTGTAGCACCATCTAGTGGAGGCATTGTAGATTGCGCCTTATAATGCGAAGTGTCCAATGTATGAAAAAAATTTTACAAAATAGCCATTCATTGAAGGTGCGCCTCATAATCCAGTGCGTCTTTTAGTGCGGAAAATACGGGCATAAATGAGTATTTTCATCCATCCATTTTCTGATCCGCTTTATTCTCACAAGATTCTCTCTTATTTGTGCGTGCTTACTGTGCTATGAGATTTGCACACGACACGCGGTACTGTACTTAAGTATTTCTGTCCGAAACACTCTATTCAAACGTTCCTGGCCCGGCCCCTTTTCAAATTCATTCATCCATTTTCCGAACCGCTTTATCCTCACTCGGGTCGCGGGGGGTGCTGGAGCCTATCCCAGCTGTCTTTGAGCAGTAGAACCGGTTGCCAGCCAACTGCAGGGCACATATAGACCAACACCCGTTCGCGCGCACACTCACACCTAGGGACAATTGAGAGTGTTCTATTAACCTGCCACGTATGTTTTTGAAATGTGGGAGGAAACCGGAGTACCCGGAGAATACCCACGCAGACACGGAGAACATGCAAACTCCACACAGGAAGGCCAAAGCCCGGAATCAAATCCTGCACCTCTGCACTGTGAGGCCGACGTGCTAACCCCTGGTACACTGGGCTGTGTGTTTAATTAAAATGACCATAAAGGGGTTCCCTCTCGGTCAGTCTGGGCTGATATTCCACTGGTGGTAAAGTAAGCGCTAGTATGTGTGTGTGCGCATGTATAAGGGTGGCGTGACTCAAATGGAGAGTTCACAAGTGTGTTTGTTTGTGTCCACTGAGTGTGTGCAACTGGAGAGTGCCGCTCGGTCTTAATCTGTCGTTGCCTCATATGGTTTGTGCTCGTGCGTCTGTCAGATTTAGCACTTTGTCACAGGAGGTGCAGATCATAATGTCGCTCAGGAGGAGAAGGACCGCCAAATACTTTTTTCACTCCTGGTTGTAAACCTCTTAACAGACAAACAAACACGCACTGCCGGAATAGCACCGTCCAGTTCCAGAAGGATCAGCTTGTGAAACACAAAAGAAGAAAAGGTACGTCAACACGTGCTCCTGTCTACATCCGGAAAAAAATTAAATGTAAAATAATCGTCAATAACTCGAGAAATACTGGTCTTGTTTCTGTTTATTTTATCATTCATCAATTTTCAATTGTGCTTGTCCACATCAGGGCTGCCAGTCAATCACTGTCTTTTTATGATAACAGACTGGCAGAAGGATGATGAGGGTAGACAGTGTTTGCAGGCAAGAGAGCTAGAGAGAGACCTACAAACCTGGATAAAATTGTGGGTAGGAACACCTCCTTTTAATGAAAGTTAACCAATGAAAATCAGACATTGCTTTTTCATTGCAGCTCACCAGAATAATTTTAAAATACAAATTTACGAAGCATGCCAAAACAAAATAATGATGGTACTATATCTCCCGCTGCAAGTAACAGTGGTGTCCTGCTTGCTCGCCTCCCATGATGTCCACTTTTCGCTAGAACGATGACGGATGGTGCGATCTATCACTGATGTACCCTATAATTTCTTTTGAGTTTGTTCTGGACTCTTATGTTATCATTCATATGATCCGTCTTTTCAATTTGCCATCTATTTTCCTCGTGCAGCTACTTTCAGGAAGGTTGGTTACAGTAAGGCGGTAGACAGAAGATTTCTAGAAGGGTGGCCGTGGGTGCGTTTCTTCATTCCTTATTGACAAATAATTACTTCTTGGGCATGTTGGCTTGCTATAGGTGTGAAAGTAATGATTTTGATTAATGTTGAATGTAAGAAGTGAATGCTCTTTCACTTTTTCATTTAAACGGATTATTTCAGAGTATTCATTCAGATTAATTGTACATGTATTCTTTATATACAGTTCATATTTTTTGTAAACAGAATAAGAAAAGGTCGAAGAATGCTGCATCTGTGTGAAAATGGTAGAAAAATCACATATACAGTGAAACTCCTCTAGAACGAAACCTACATGGGCGAAAATACCCCCTTATGTGAAAAAAATCTTCATGCATTAGCACAATTCCCATTCTCCTGCCCCCCATACGACGAAAACCCCCTGTTGCGTTATACGAAATCATTTTCTCTGCTCCAGCCTCGCGAAGACATTCACTTCAACGAAGTCTTATCCAACAGCGACCTCTACTGCTTCGTTCGAAAAAAGGCAACAGCAACCACCACACTGGTTTACATGGTGAACGATGTTTATTTCGGTCACAGCTGCGAGTTTCCTGTACTCAACATACTCATAGCTGCTCTGCCATTGGCTTACCGAGCATCATCCTGGCCTCCGATTGGCCAAGAGGGACCTCACTGTCTATGTGTGCAGATACTGAAGCTAGATCCGTAGCATCCGATTAGCTGCTCAGAGTAAATTGCTTATGGCTCGACGGACATTCAAATAAACGAACGTTTCCTCGAATGCTTTACTTGTTATCATGCTAAGAACACCCATGGGACGCTTCGTAGTCCTCGATGGCCATAGTTAGCTCTCGAAGGCTAAAAACCTTACGCTAACTGGCGCGCTAATGAGAGAGAAGCGCTCCAGTTAGCGTAAGGTTTTTAGCCTTCGAGAGCTAACTATGGCCATTGAGGACTACGAAGCGTCCCGTGGGCGTTTTTAGCATGATGACAAGTAAAGCCTTCGAGGAAACGTTCGTCCG